CTTTAATACATTTTCCATTTTATGAAAACTGGACCACAACATAACTAATTTAATTTAAAGGAAATGCATAAAAGTCAATGGGAAATGCTGGATATAGCACTTTTGATAATCAGACTATTTTTAAAAATTTGCTTATATTCAGGTTCTATTTTAAAAGAATTTTGGCCATAAGACCTTAGCACTTAATTTGTGGTCTCAGTGATGCTTAAGTTTTCTTTATCTAGAATATTTATCAAGATTTACAGATGCCTCCCTTTGATGTATTGAAAAGTGTTTCAGTTTGTATTGATTTTATGGTCTCACTGTGTCTCATAGAGGAAACAATTACCAAGAAGCCTTCACCGGCTACCAAAAGGCCAGTGTTTGGTGAGTAATAAATTTAAATTGGCTAATGGTTCATGACAATGATCTCACATTTGTAGTTTCTACAAGATTCATCGTGATGTGTGCCATGTGCAGCATCTGAGATCAAGGTTGTGCGATAACTGTCTAAGTATCAAGTACTGTATAGGTTAAAAAAAAGTATTAAAGGAACTCTCTTGGACATTTACCAAATAATAAGAGTTCCTTAATGGGTATAATATGGCTTTAGACAGTGACTGAACAATACTGAAATTGTATTGGCTGATAATTTTTGGTAATCTCTTACCTGCCTTGAAATCCCCAAGGAACATACAAATAGACAACTGTAGCTTTTGTATTTGCCTTACTAAACATTTGTGCAGGGGAAAAGACAAGTCCACAACAAATGACTTTTAAAGAATGTTAGTAGTGTTGGAGACTAAAGTCTTATATGCGTGGGACTTTTTAAAATTTGATGGACCCCCCTCTTCTGGCATTCATTGTTAGCGTGGCTTTTAATAGTTCTACAACAGGCTATGCCAAAGAACAGAAATGAGCTGTGAATGGTAAAGGAGGACTAGAAAGTTTTAAAGCCATAAACTCTGGAGGAGATTGGATGTGACAAACTAATTTTAAAAGGGTAAATCTTTTTTTCTCATTCTCTCCGTTTAAAAATACTTTTTATTTGATTATGATATTCCACATACTACACTGAAAGAAAATTAAAGTTCTAAAATGAAGCATTCAGGAATCAGGAAATGGATAAGGTTGCCATGCAATCTTAATTTAGCTCCCTTGTGACTATGCATTATGGTAGAGTCTTTCACTATACAATCACAGTTTTTTCCCCCTCAGGAATCCTGTCTCATTCAGTGCACAAGTTGGACATTGTTCTATGTATGTGGCAGCTGTTAAATATTTGTATTGTCACTATGCGGTGCATGGCTTCATGTTTTATACATTGCAGTGTCCCAGCCCCCACATTGCATGAGGCCAAAAGTCCTTTCTTACCTCTGTCTCTTACACCATACACTGAACAAATAATATAGTGCATGGAGCAGGACCGCTGCCTCATTTACTCATAAAAATCTAGATAGATGTACTCTCCCACTTTCCCTGCTTCATTACACTACATCTTTAGTGAAAGGGGTGGGGTTCTATGTCTCTGTGAATGGGGTGGGGTTCTTCTAGATTAAGGAGCCCCTTCTTATGTATCTCTACATATTATTCAGAAGGAGTCACTGTCCTTTTAGAGCTCCACCTCATTCCATACTCACCCTCAAAGATCATATTTCACACACACCTGCACACTCTAAATGAAATTCCACTCAACATTTCTGTGCATGTGTAACTGCAATAGAAGTTGAGAGATTGTCTACTGAATGGAAAATTCCACTCAACTCGCGTGCACACATGTGCAGCACCAATGGAATGTTGGCAGATCATTAGTATAACAAAAAACAGTGCACAGGCATGAACCATGTTTTAAAATCTTTACAACTTGTCCAAAGCAAAACTGATGTTCACCAGATCCCAGAAAGGCATATGAGCTACTTGGGGACTCTGTCCTCTGATTAAATGTGCCCCCCCACACACGCGCACTATATTCCTACTCAAAGTAGCTGAACAGTTTTTGCTCAAACATTCTAAAAATGTGCTCCTGGGCTGAGAACAAAGGTGTCCAGTGTTTGACCAAAAGGTAAAGGTTATTAAAATCTTGAAATCTTTATTGCTAATAGATGATCATCCAAAACCTCACCCACGTCCTCCTCACAAGCCGCAGCCGGGAAGCTATGGCAATGACGGTGGTAAGAATATTTTTGTGCATTAAAAATAAATGAAGCTGCAACTGGTTAATTTTGGTTTGCATTTTTTGTTGGACATTGTGCTATGATAATGAAAATATTTATTTTTATTAGATGCTTCTGGGATCAATATGTTTATTTCTGATTTTAAAATTTATTTTTCGACATATAAAATATAGCTTGTGTATCTATTATAGATATGCTGGTCTGGACACCACATTTCACTGAGTTTTTTTATTTACAGCACAGATTCAACCTCTTCGTTGTTTTATAAAGAATTTGGTGTAGCGCCCCAAATTTACAGCTCATAAATTCTGGGTAAAGACAAAATTTTATAAGAATCTTCACGTAAATTTGTGAATTACTTTGAGTTAAAATTAATTTAAAATTAACTATTTAAAATATGTGTCCCACTATGTCTCACCTTTTTGTTCCTAACTAAAACACCACAGTTTTTAAAAAATGTTCTTTCCCCTTATTCTTCGTCACTGTTACTTTCTCCATCGTCATGCTTGATGAGAAATATTTTGGAGATTGAATGGCTAGTCTGGAATCTAAACTTTTATTTTAAAAGATACAATGCTTTGAGCCTTCATGGTTGTGAAGAAAACTTTGGAACTGTAAACTGGAATGCAGCTCATCCATATATCCCCAGCACACAGAGCTGTCTTGAAATTTTGCTAGCAATGCATTGGAGAATGATGTGGGCAATAATCCTTCTTTCCATGTAATGCAGTGGAGGTAAAATTCTCAAAATACTGAGTCATCTTCTGTGAGTTGCTAAAGCACTTGCAGATGACCTGCCCCAACATATTTCCACTCTTCTTAAACAATTGCTTTACATTTCCTATTTAAAACTAACATTTCACTCCTTCTCCAAAGTGCCTTCTGTTTACTCTCTTCTTTGTCTTCTTTTAGATAAAGACCTTTATTTAAGAGATGCCCCTGGTGGTGGTATTCCCTAAAAGTTTTGTAGTATGTTAGACTGCTTTTTATCATGCTTTCACATTTCAGAAAATAATTCCCCCAGCATCATATTTAAGATGGTTAGACTACTAGAAATTAGAGATTGAAAACACTAATAACCATGGGTGAAATTATCAGAAGTACCTAAGGTCCCATTTTCTAAAGTGATACAGGTGTTTAGACTCCTAAGCACCTAATTGCTTTTGAAAACAGGATTTAGGATTGTAAATCATAGGCACATTTTAAAATATTAGTCCATATCTTTACATGTTTATAAATATTTGCCCATTTAGTCATCTCTTAGCCAAACTCTTATTCTTTTCTCATAAATCAGCCCCTTAATTCCTCTTGTTATATCTGTAGCTGTATTAAGTTTGTTTACGTCTTCCTAGAAGTGAGGAGCCTGGAGCTGTGTGCAGTTAATCCAGCTGTGATCTCATAGGTCCCAGTTCAGCAAGGTACTTAAGCATATTTGTAACTTCAAGCATAAGAGTAGTCCCAAATAAATGGGGACTAGTCTCATGCTTATAATTACACACGTGCTTAAACATGTTGTTGAATCAGGGCTGTACGGAGGGATTATTATTTCCCGGTTCTGTTATACTATGCCTTTGCATTTGTAGGCCAAAAAATTGCAATGGCTTGTTTTACTGTCGTATAACACACATTTCAAAACCAGGCATGATATACTATCCTCTCTCATCCCTACGTCTTTTAGCATTTCCAGGTTTCTTTCTTCCATTTGATACCTGTTTCCTCAGATGTTAGTCTATATTTTTCAAAATTGAATCTCGTTTTGTCCCGTCCCCCCCATACTTATTTTATTTAATCATTTTAGGCCCTTCTTTATTATTATTTTTTGCTCATACTGGTGTTTGAAGCTCCTTCAAATTATTATTATTATTGGTTAATTTTATTAATGTGTTGCCTTAATATCTCTTTTAGATAAATAAAATACCCAATTCAATCCACTACAGTTTATTATTTTTCTTTACTTTTGGTTCCTTCAGCCAATTTTCCATCGACATTTTGGTCTCTGGTTCCTGCATGATACCCATAATATCCCACAATCCTTCCCTGATGTCAGTATCTGATATGTTCATAATAGTGGAGCTGGCTAAAAAACGCAAAATATTTTTCTCAAAAATTGTGGTGGGTTTTTTTTCTTATTTTCACTGAAGATTGAAATTTTTTGACTAACATTTTGTAGTCAGCAGGAATTCTCTGATGCCAAGAAAATCAGGCTCAGGATGTTTGGCCCTTCTTGCGACTGTTTTAACTAATGAGGAGGACCTTTTCTGAATCTATTAGAGGAAAAATCAGCAATGGACTATAAAAATCCCAAAGTTTTACACTTCTTGTTTACTTTTGTATGCACTTTTGAAACTTTGGCCTTCCTTCCTTCTAACAATATTTATTATCAATAGACGACCACCCAAAACCTCAGCCATATCTACCTGCTCACCCGCAACCAGGAAGGTATAGCAATTCTGTTAAGAATATTTTCTCCTAAGAATGTTAGAACCAAAAATTATTTAGGTCAGATTTTTATTTATATTGATTCAGATTTTTATTCATTTATTTATGGATGGTATACTTGTGGAGATTATGGAAGAGGGAGACATGAATCAGGGCCCTTATTGTACCTGGGGTGATCACTACTTCCCACCACCCAACACAGATGTAATGAGGTTGAGTAGTGTCCGCAAAAGAGAAACTAAAACAACTAATTATTCCTCAAAGAAGGCTTTTAATGATTTATGACTATAAAAGCAACATAGACAGAATAAGAAGAGAATAATTAAAGACCAGCACTGAATTAGGATTAATATAAATGGCAGGTTATACTGAAGACAGGCACAGTAACATGCAAAGCTACTATCACTTATCAACTACTAGCTCTACCCGTGCTGTGCCCGTTCCCAGCAAGGCACCAGAACCTATACAGTTATTATATATTGAGTAACTATTTACTACTACTATTCCTAAGCGATTTACTACTACTATTACCCAACTTACTTTTACTTCTAAACAATATACTAGTATAATTAAACTATAGTATCGATACAGACTTAAGATTAATCAGGCCAAGCACAACCAGACTTCTTTGCTTCAAAACCTTACCCTGCATTTTCCCGAGAATACGTTACCCTTCAGTCGACCGCTTTCCGCACTGGCCAGGCACAGATAGTCGGTGAAGCACATGTCCCTTCGGTTCAGGGTGTGTGTGTGAGCCTGATTAAAGAGAGATCTCTTTTAGGTCAATACACACACAGACAGACACCTGCGCCTTTGCACCTCTTTATACATTATTTTTTGGCTGTGTTCCAAAGCAAGTCAACCAATTAAGGTGGCCAAATGTCTTAGTGTGGTATTTTGCGGTTGTTTTGATCTTATGAACTGTGCACCTGTGCCCAGCTCATCTTTTCTTTATGTGGCTAGTTGTCCTAATTGTGGTCAATTTGCTAGACTCAAATTTTGAGTCAGCCTAAAGAAGTATCCGGTTGCAGTGCATAGTAACTACAAGTCCGTATCTAATTTCACAGAGCTTCCTTTTTTGCTTAATCTTAGTCTATAAAGCTTCCTAGCTAGATTTTGCTTATACTTGCAGGATTTTATTGCGTTCGCTCTTTGCAGCTTCCCAGAAGTTTGATACATTAATCACAATACTCTGATGGGGCACTTATTTATTAACCACTGTAGGGAACTTTTGGTTTGCTATGTGCTTGTTTGCTTGTTTGTTTGTTCAACGTTCCAGGTCCACTTTTTGAAAAAGGTTACTGGGTCTTAGTGTCTGTCCAACAAAGTATATCTAGCCTGAACAATTTACAAGATATTGGACCTAAAATCATGTTGATAATCATCTTGTTTTCCCTTCCACTCCTGTTGACAAATTTAGCTGCACCTATCCTGGGAATGGATAGGAACCAAAAATTTTCTATTTACATGACTGGAATTCTAGCCTTCAAATAGATTCTAATGGTTGACCTTGAGGTGAAAGACAGAAAGTGGGCTCTATGCCCAAAAGGGTCTGCCTCCACTTAAGGATCCTGGGGGAATGATCCTCTCCTAGGACACCAAGAATAAGCAGGTCATGGTAGTGGAAGGGAGGGGGAAAAGCTGAAATTTCAGATAAGTTTGAATAATGAATAACACGCTAATTTTACAGACCGCTTCAGTGACTTAGATCTCAATGATGGGAAACCTCTACCCCCAAGGCCCGCAGGTACTGTATGCCAATTCTGTTGAATATTTCACAACCTCTCTCATATAGTCATATCCCATAGCTGCCTGTTTTTGCTTTAGACTTGCATGTAGCTGGTATAGGGCCAGATTCTCCTACTCTTACACATATTGAGCAATCTCTTGCTCCACAAATAGTGCTAAAAGATGTCGAGTGGTCAGTCCTGAAGAGATAAATCACTTTAAGAACATGCTTAAGCAGGGTGGATTTGATTTAAATCATTAGTCAGGAAGACTCGATTTAATCATGGTTTTCTACATAAAAGTGCATTCTTGTTGGTTGTTATAATCCTAATACATATTCTTCACAACTCAGAGATAGATGTAGGTTACATTTTTAGAAGGTACACACTATACATTTTTAAACAGGTGATTTATTTTGAAAACTTTTCAGATTAGTTTTACAGCTATATCAGAAAATGAATGATTGGTTATTTAATTTACCGAAGGTAATTGAAGCAAATATTTATGAAGTCATTGGGAAGTGAAGTATCTCCAATGCAACAGGTTAATCATTAATATTTGGAGGATTTTCTTGCCATGTTGTATTAGGAGGAGAACATCACCAGATAGACATTTAAATTGTTTTATTTAACTAAAACAACAATGTTAAGTATTCTGGATTTTTTTCTTCAACCACAAACATATAATATTTTAACAAAACAAGTGTATGTCCCTCGCTTCTCACATTTATCTCCAGACTTCTTCTCCTTGTCCAGCTCTATTCCACCCCCAACAATCTTCTATTCGTTGAACTTTTTGAAACTTTGCACTTTTAGAGAGAGGTAAGGGATTGACTCTGTGTACACAAATTTGCAGAGGGAAAATAGAGTTGAGGTCTATTATTTCTCACTGCTATATATTATTTATTTATTTAAAAACATTTTTGCTGTTAACAAGCATGTTACCTCTGGAGACACAAATCCACAGTTTGAGAACTGCAAAACTAAGCATCTCTAAGCTTCTAGAATGAGCACTGAGTGCCATTGAGTAGATAGAAAGATTAACCTAAATAATCTATACAGAAGCCTGTGGAACCGATAAGATTGGGTCCCTAATCCATGAACTATTGGAACTCATTTACAAAACTTTTCTTAAACATTACATGAATATATTGTCTCATACTATAGAATTAGAATTTATAATCCCTATTCCATGATGAGATACCTTTGAGCTATAACGTATCTTAATTAAAACTATCTTTAGATAGGTTTTTTCCTCAAAAACATTTTATCAAAAATTCCATTTGAATAAAAAAAATCCGATTTTTTAATTTTTTTTTTAAATCATTGATTTTTATCCACCCTGTGCTTACGTGCTTTGCTGGGTTGGAAAGGGTCTTCTGCACCTTGCAGGATTGGGCCCATAGTCTGGTTGAATTCAGTGGGACTACTTACAGATTAAGGGGCTATTCAGAGTGTGTAAAGGTGGAAGCATTGGACCGATCGTGAGTTAGCCAATGGCTCCCCGGGTGGTTGTCTGTCAGTGGAGACTAGCCAGAGTGTTGCAGTGCTCTGGCTACTCCCCTGTCTTACTCCCCATGCTGGCAGCTGTCTTTTATTTGAAATTTACTACATTTTTTATGAAGGTGGGTAAGCAGTTTCAGCCCCATTTTATTGGGTGGGGGTGATTAGTATTATCATTCTGAGGAAATTAAGACAGAGAAGTGACACAATGTGCCTCCAAAAAGTTAAGGTTGAAGTCAGGATTAGAACCCACATTTCCTTACTCCCATTCCCCAGTTCTAACCAAATATCATTTTGCAGGCTGTCTCTGCATGGGATTTGTTGTTGTTTTGCTGTGTGTTAGCTGTGACTTTTCTCCAAAAGGTTTCTTCCAACAATGAAGTTATTTCCTCTTTTCCAGGAGAAAAGGAGAGTAATGTCAATCATGGTGGAAACACTGGTCAGTAAACACATATATACATATTATCTTATAGTATATTTAGGACAGTCTTAGCTGAACCAAAAGAGTTTTAAAACCCACATAAAACATATGTGTAGTTTTCACTATTGTGAAATAAATAAGTCACTATTTTCTTGTCTGTAGTAATATTATGGTTTCTGGTCCTTATATATATTTTTAAAAATGTTTTATTTCATGCTGCAAATGAAATTCAAAAGTTGTATGAACCCTTTCTCATGTCAAATTGTGTTTGCAATGATTTGCTATTATGGGTCAGTGTCCACTTTATGTACTCTATAATAAGGATGCTTTTTTGTTGCTTCTGAAGAAAATACGTTTTTTCTTCCAATAGATTCTGGAGTAATTGCTGGAGTTACGTCACCTGTGATTTCTGTGCTTGTGCTGTTAGTTGTTGGAACAGTAGCTGGTTACACAGCTTACAAGAAGAAGCAACTCTGTTTTAAAGCTAATGGTAAGAATTACACTAGCTTTTTTGTTCTCTTTTTGGAACTGTGACAGATCCTGATTGAAACAGCACTTTCTTATTTCTTGTAATATAAATTAAAACCATCTTGTACATTCTTTTTGCACGTTATATACTTTGGTGCTGTTGTTTTTGTACCACAGAAAACATTAGCTGAAAATGTGTGTAGTGTATGTAGGTGGATGGACATGGAGGGAATAAGTGACCTATATATATCTGTTTCAGTCTCTGAGTTTGGATAATAAAATATAGTGCACCTGGTTTAAAGAATTCAATTTACTCCACTCAAATAGTTGCAAGACCTATAATGTTTTGAGTAGTAATTGCAGCTTCATTGTTCATCTTTAGCAGGGCCGGCTCTGGCTTTTTCCCCGCCCCAGGCGAAAAAGCCTCCGGCCACCCCCCCCCCCCCCCCGGGGGGGGGGGGGGGCCGCGCCCCCCCCGGGGGGGGGCGCGCCCCCGGGGGGGCGCCGCTCTCCCCCCGGCGGCCGGGGGCAGGGCGTCGGGGGGGAGGGTGGCCGGAGCCCTGGGAGGAGGGCGGCGAGCCCCGACTGGGGCTCGGCTCTCCCCCCCAGCGGCCAGAGTGCAGGGCGGCGAGCCCCGGCAGGGGCTCGCCGCTCTCCCCCCGGCGGCCGGGGGGAGGGCAGCCAGAGCGCCGGGGGGAGGGCGGCGAGCCCTGCTGTGGCCCCGCTCTCCCCGGCGGCCGGAGCGCCGCGCCGCCACCCCCCTCCAGGTGCCGCCCCAAGCACCAGCTTGGGTGCCTGGTGCCTGGAGCCGGCCCTGATCTTTAGTTTTTGTATTGCAATTGCACAACCAATATGCTATGTGCTTCCCAGAGTGGAAGACACTATCTCTGCCCTGAAGAGTGCAGGGTCCTGAATATGAACTTATATTTAAAATATTTTTATTCCCAGACACAAACTTAATGAAATTGAAATTAAGGTTGAAAATTCATGGATGTGATGGTCAGTCAGTCAGATGCTGCCCGATAAGAACTACAAATGTAATAATGAATTAAATATTTAGGTGGGATTTTCAAAGGTGCTTACAGCTGGCCTAACTTGGCTTCCATTGAAGTCAATGGGAGTTTTACTATTGACCTCCGTGAGAGCAGATTTTGTTTTTGAAAATCCCAATCTTAGCATTGTTTTCTAGGTTTGCAAGGGATATTTGTTAACAGTTAGCATGCCTACTCTTTCCACAAATTTGAAGTAAACCATTGAAATGATAAAATTCCTAGGTCCTCAGTGTCAGAAAGTGTGATGGTGGGTGGGAGTGGAAGTTGCAGTGGTACAAGGCAGCTACAACTTTCCCTGCAGCAAAGGGGGGGGCCTATATAGGAGGGCATGGCAGACCCAAAAGAGGGGTAGGATTATAGCATCAGTGCATCCCCTGAGCAGCCTCTGCCATCGGAGATCCTATAGAGCCCACAGCAGGAGCAGTGAGAGAGGACAAAGGTTATCTGTCCTTCCGTAGGGGCAGGGAGGAGCTGTAGTAAAGGATAGAGATGTATAGATCTGAATAAGCATCCATACCAGAATATTAAAATTTTCTTTACAATCTTCCATTTTAGGTGGGACAACTGTGTAAGCTGGCAAGAGAGGAACTGCCCAGTGATAATGAATATTTTCTGCACAACACCAGACTACTTATTGTTAAGATGTACTTAAGTATGAATGGGTAACATAGTACAATCTGATGCATATTATACATATGAATGTATATTTTGGTTCAGATGCTAACTCTGTGATAATTCCTCAATTATGTGCTATAATATTTTTCTAAGGTTAAAGGTTTGTGTCTGAGCATTGGGTTCACAGACTATTAAGTGTTTTTTCTATGCCTATATTTTTTAATACTTTAGGTGATGAGAAAAAAGGAACTTCCGCCTATGTGTTGTATTGATGTTCTCTTGTATATTTGTATTTTTTATAAAGTTTGAGGCAAATACTTGAAGTTTTGAAAAAAGTTTAAAGATTTTACTTTCCTTTATTTTATACTTTACATCTGAATTCTACTGAATAGAAAAATCTATAGTTGAAAAAAGCATTTTCATCCTTCATTTTTCAAAAAATGACAAGGGAGATGTACTGTGTACTGCAAAACCACCGATAGAAAGGAAGCCCCAAACCATATATGAGGGGCACACATTGATTTTTAAGGAAATGTGTTTAGCTCCACTTAAGTTCTGCAAATCTTGCTTGAACCCTGCTTCTTTTCTATGAAATTTCTTAATATAGAAAGGGCTAGTTCCAGAATCCATTAGAGTCAGTGGGTGCCCTTGCATTGTCTTTAATGGGCTGAATCAGCCCCATAGATACTGGTTTTCAGGAAATTTGAAGACCCTGTAATAGAAACTAAATTGCGGTAGTTCTTTAAATCAGTCATCATAATCACCACATTACTGGCCTTTTTTACAAAAACAGTCAGAATTTTCTTGTGGAGGAAGGAATCAATTTGATTACAGATGTAGTATGCAAGGAGAATGCTTGTGGGTGGGAAACATGATGCTTTGAATTCTAAGCCCCATCTTGAGTCACATATAACCAATCTGTTAAATTTTATCTTTTTGATACGTTTGTTGTTCTTATGATTTTAATCATGTAGTCTCTATTCATCTTTAAACTCAGTATTTTCACCTTTATTTTACAAATGAACTACCATATATACTCGTTCATTAGCCCGTTCATTTATAAGCCAATCCCCCAAGGTGGTTAGGTAAAAATAGCAAAAACTGTATGACCCTTTCATAAGCCGACCCTATATTTCAGGGGTTGGCAAACTTTGGCTCCTGGCCTGTTAGGGTAAGCCGCTAGCGGGCCTAAAAGTTTTGTTTACTTGGAGCGTCTGCAGGCATGGAGCCCCTCAGCTCCCAGTGTCTGCGGTTTGCTGTTCCCAGCCAATGGGAGCTGCGGGAAGCGCCAGCTCCCAGTGTCCGCAGTTAGCCGTTCCCAGCCAATGGGAGCTGCGGGAAGCACCACTTCCCGCAGCTCCCATTGGCTGGGAACGGCAAACCACGGACACTGGGAGCTGAGGGGCTTTGTGTCTGCAGACGCTCCAAGTAAACAAAACGTCCCGACCCGCTAGTGGCTTACCCTAATGGGCTAGGAGCCAACGTTTGCCAACCCCTGCTATATTTCAAAAGCTGGCATCACAAGAAACACTCAAAAGTTTTGCTAGAATTATTTTAATGTAATCTAACAAAAAATCTGTTGTTGTTATAATAATAACTGAACAAATATGTATTCACCTTCAAAATTACAGTCAATATTTAAAATCAGTAAATGGATATTTAAAACAAGTAACTTGGAACAATATGAGACTTTAAAAAGTCTTAAAATCCTTCAAAGTCTGAATCAGTCTCTGATTCACCAAACAGTTCATTAAACTCGGCTTCAGTCACAGTTGTATCTGCATTGCCATCGTAGATGTCGGCAGTGTCGTCTTCAGACTCATATTCCTTCTCATCATCAGCCTCTGTTGTGTCATCATCATCAAATATGGCATCATCTTCTGACTCGTTGAGTGCATTGCTGATACAGCATTTCCTAAATGATTTTTCTATCATTTCCGAGCGAATGGACACCCACGCATACTTGATCCACTGGGCAACCAGATTGATTTCGGGCTTCCTAAGATTGCCGCCTTTTGTCAACTTCGCACATCCATTCAGACCACATTTTGCGTAGCCTGTCTTTAAAGGGTTTGTTCTGGCAGACATCAAGCGGTTGTAGAACTGAAGTTAAGCCTCCAGGTATTACAGCCAATGTAGTTTTCATATTTTTGGCCACATTTTTCACCTCATCCGTCTTGTGTGCCCTGAACATGTCCCAAATGAGCATAGCAGGTTTCTTGAAAAGTGCTCCTGGTCTCTTATTCCACACTTTTCCCAGCCATTCAATAGTCCCACTTTCATCCATCCATCCCTTTTCGTGTGCACATACGATGACACCAGCAGGAAATTTCATGTTTTTAGGCAAGGTTTTTCTTTTAAAAATAACAACAGGAGGGAGCTTTGATCCATTTGCCAAACATGATAAAACCACTGTAAAATGGATTTTTTCATGGCCAGTGGTTTTAATTAAAACTCTTTTTTCACTAACACCAGTTACCGTTCTGTTGCTCGGGAGATCGAATGTCATTGGTGTTTTGTCCATATTTCCTATTTGTGACAGTTCAAATGCATATTCCTTTCGATATTTTATAATAAACCTCTGGAAAGATTTGATTTTTTCTTCCAGATCTCGGCAGCTTTTGCGCTATCTTTGTTCGCTGACGAAGACAGAGACCATGACGGTTCATGAAGCGAGTGCACCAACCCGCTGATGCAACAAACATTGATGTCTTTACTGACTTGTATTTGTCATCTTTCGACATTTGCAGAGCACGCAGACGAATTCCAGATCTAGTGACAATGTACCCATTTTGTCGACATTCAACAACCCAATTATTGAGATCTTTCTCTAGCTCAGGAAATGAAACGCACTTGGTTGGACATTTTTTCTTACTTCTTGGCATGTCTTTTAGTGTTGTTTTATTTTTTTGCCATTCTCTTACTGGCTTCTCATTGATACAGAATTCACGAGGAGCGGCGCAATTATTGTTTGCTTCTGCATATTCAACAACTTTAAGTTTGAACACTGTATGATAAGCAGACCTTTTTCTTTTGATTTCACCATTGTTCATTTTAAATACTAGTATGAAAATAGATTATTATTATTGTAGTTATAGATTTTGTAGGACTTTATATAGGAATGTCACATGCTTTATCACTGTCAAATTATTATTGTTCTTTGTTTATTTCAAAGCAGCCTTGTAGATAGCCTGTTATCCCCACAGACATGCCAATTTCAATTTTATTAGAGATTCCATCGATTCTGCACGTTATATTTTCATATTGGCTCGAGACTTATGAGGTCCAATGGTAGAAATGCATGAAGAGATCAAATTATACAGTAGCGGACTGACACCAGTGCTATAGTACTATCATTCATTGTATTTTTCTGATTGGGTTGTAAGGTGTAGCATTTTGTGAAATGCATGGGTCAAATGTCATGCAGATCTGCAGCACTGCTCTTTTAGTATTCCTTTCAAGCCAATCTAGTCCACTAAACAAAGCCTTTGCAACTTTAAAAGGCTTCAGTATTGACATCAATAAATGGGTCGGCAAACTTTGGCTCCCGGCCTGTCAGGGTAAGCCGCTGGCGGGACGTTTTGTTTAC